TGTGTGTGTGTGTGTGTATATATATATATATGTGTGTATATATGTAGGCCCCTATATGTATATGTATATACACACATTATTGAGTATTCTAGTCCTGATCATAATAGTATATATTATATACATATATATTACACATGTGAGTGTCAGCAGATATTTAATAAATGTTATTAGCAAAGTTCTTATGTTATACGGAACGTCCGATGTTGCTATGGAAATTTTGCCTATTACGGACGTAAGGAAATAGACCAAAATACTACGGAAACGTATCATTGAATTGTAAATAAATAGGTCTACACATTGTCTAATGTCCAGAAGAAAAAACTTTTCATTATAGGATATTTGGTTACATTGTCCCTAGACAACCCAGAAATTGTCAGGTTAATGATAAATTGTTGTCAAAACCAAGAAGAAGTGAGTATATATATTTTTTTTATCCTGTCCGGTTCGTTTGAAATTCCACAACTGTTATTACACTGTACCTGAAATTTAAGCAACCCATATTTTTCACTCAAAGGCAAATGGTGCTGCGAAAATTTTGTATATAGGCCTACTACGGATATTTGAAGACATAGTTAGGCCCTATTGAAATGTATTTTAATAACTTGTCTGTATTATTATTATCATCATCATCTCCGCACTCCTGCTCAGGCCTTTATAACAATCCTCTTCCATGGTTATTATGCTCGGTTATATTGTCTCTAAAGTTTAGTTTCTTTTTTATGTCAAAATAGTAACACCCTAGTTATAGGAGGTTGGTCACTACCCTTTCAGGCACATTCATGTCTAGATTTGAAAGTCAACGTACAAGACCAGGGCCTAAAATTCAATTCAAAATAAATTTATTCCAAATCTTTTCAAAGCATAGATAAACAGTACAGATATATAAAAATGGAATTTGGAAAGGGCAACCACAAACAAGCAGAGCTTTACACTAGTGGCGCCTGAAAAAAAGTAATTAAGATACTATTTCAAATTGACAAAGTAAGTCAAGGTATACATTTTAATTAAAGCACTTTCATATACATAGATCAAGACAATAATAATAATAATAATAATAATAAGAATAATAGCAAAGAAAAGAAAAATAAAATAAAAATTAATAAAAATAAATAATAAATAATAATAATGATAATAATAATAATAATAATAATAAAATATAAATAATATGTCCTTCTTAGATAGTAATTTAAACACAGTAAAATTATATAAATAATTAAATTAAATAGCAGCAATAAAGCAACATATAGATTGCACTTAAACATCATTGAATTATTGACGAATTTCTTTACAAATAATACAATTGTTCCCGTCCTGGCAGTGGTACCGTTTCATCTTATAACTTTCATGATAAATATTATTCATTTTGTTCTTAAATAGTGAAATATTAGCACATGCTCTTACATTGCTTGATATGTTGTTCCACACCTTAGGCCTTATATACGAGATCCCTTGTCGGCCAACATTTGTGCGTTTTAAGTCGATAACAAGGTTTTGCTTATATCGTGTATTATGATTATGGTACGAGTCAAGTGTACGGAACAACAAATCAAAAGATTCTGGTAATAAACCCTTATCATATAAAAACATTAAGTTGGCTACATTTTTTTAATTTTATAAATCAAATATGTTTAAAGTATTGGTTTTAAAATAGAAGCCTGGTGGCAATTTTAGAATCATGCCTACTCTTTGAACACATATTTTTATCTTTATCCAGGAGTTTGACTCACGCAAACAGGATGGCTAAAGGTCTGTCGGCAACATCAGACTTTATCGGTAGATCTGACGAGCAATTCAAATTCGTTGGACGCGAAAACCAAATAAAAACTCTGAAAAAGATCTTCCTGAATAGCATGGTTGGTATATGTTCTCAACAGAGGCTCAGCACACAGGCTGTACTCATCACAGGTGAACCAATGATTGGTAAGACACGTCTTGCAAAGGAGATTGGTCATCAGCTTGTAAGAGATTGCCACCAGACAGGTGTCCGCCTAGACGCTTATTTTATCGAACTACGAAGAGTAACAGAGTTCAATACAGTGCTTGTTCGTTTGTCTGCCGCCCTAGGAATGCCACCATGCTCAGAATATGACATTGTAACAGTTTTTAGAAAGCGTACGCACCATTCTCTGATAATATTCGATGCGGCAGAACATCTTTCAGTTGATACCTCTGCAGAGATGCAGACATCGTTTCTAGAATTTTGTACAAGAATCGTAACCAACACAAAGACATTGCTGTTAATTACATCTCGATTTCGATACAGATTTTTTAAAATTCGTGCAAAGATATACTACCATCGTCTGGAGAAATTGAGTCCCAGTGAGTCTAGTAATCTGTTAAAGTTGATTGCAGTAAATACAGATTTCACTGATGAAACAGAAGAAAAGATTGCAAATTTCTGTGCTGGAATCCCTCTTGCCTTAGAAATTGCTGCAACTGTGCTTGAAGACAACTGTTACACTCCAAAGGAACTCGTCAAATTGCTAGAAAAGAATCGTTTAGACGCGTTAAGCGATGAAAATTACAGTCAAGAAGAACAAGTTCGTCATGTGATAAAGTCTTCAATCGACAAGTTAAAAGAGATACTTAGGAAGGAATACGTTAAGCTTTCGTATATTCCTGATTCATTTAATGCTGAGGCAGTCGCTCATATTCTAGAACATCTTGATGGAAGATCAGCACTAGCTAAACGTGATGTCCTTATTCCACTGACAACACGTTCACTGGTTGCTAGGGACACTTTGCAAGATCGTTTTGATATTCACGACTTTTTACGCGAATTCTTATCCAAAGAATTGTCTTCACTACCACTGGAACAGCTCTTAAGTCTTCGAAGTCGTTATTGTGTGTTTTACGGAAGATTACTCCAGGCATTGGCACCTGTCGTCGAAGAAGATTCGTGCAAGGAACTGTCCCTATTTACTGTAGAGTTGGTGAATATTCAGAAGCTGTTACACGAAGCTGCACTGTGTCCAACAGAAGACTACAAATTGTTCCTTGACATTGCGTACAAGGCAGAGTATCTAATCATCAACTTCTTGCCTCGGAAGGAATCTGTCGAGTTTTACGCAGCGTGCGTGCGTGCGGCAGAAAGTAGGGGGCCGGCGATGAAGAAGCAACTTGGGTTGATGCTATCTGGATACGGCCAGGTGTTGGGACACGCGCAGACTAATTACAAAATGGCAGACGAACAATACGAGCGGGCTATGAAATGTTTAACCCCATTTGGAGACAGCGTTGATTTGGCATGGCTTATTAATCATATTGGATGGATTCGTTACTCCAATGACCAATTCGACCAAGCTCTGAAGTAAGTAAAAGCATGGAAATATCATTGTTGCTGTAAATAATGATCACCTGGTGGCTCAGGTTATATTGATAATAACGATAAGCAATGGTGGCGAAAGGCCTAAGGCTTTATTAGAACAATCTATTGGTTTGGGAATAATGATACGTACGTATTCTTATCCGTCTCTAACATGTTTTGTTTGTTTGTTTGTTTGTTTGTTTGTTTTTTGGTATTTTTGTAGAGAGTTTAAGCACGCTGAGAGCATTCTGAACCGTATTCCAGAGGATAGTGAACACGATCAGTATTTCAGAAAAAGGACTATGGCGTCTGTTCTCAGTTGCTTAGGACTAACATATGCTGCAAAAGGTACACAGTATGAATTTTGTATATTGATAATCTGTAATAGTACCACTTAACACTTAAGATGTTGGTCTTTTAAGTACAAGAGTTGCATAGACCTAACGATTTCATCTTGATAATATATTTTGAATCATCTTTTATTTCCTAACACACCATTAGGCGTATTAATTTACACTGTCGTTTTTGCACATCGTTATTATCGTGCATCTTATTTTTGAATCACTGATCCGCTTAAAAAAAACCTTTACATGAGCGCATTTATTTGTGTTAATTCCGGAGTGATCGCTCCCGCCGTTTCGTTTCCCATAACTTACCATTTAATGAGTTACTCTTTTTCACCTCAATGCAGCGTACAGTTTATATTTTTGTGACTACTTAAAGAAGTGAAGAGGTCCCAAGTATTCCTAAATTTGATTGTTTTTCCGATGTTCAACGGCGTTCCAACGCATTTTCAAATGTAAAGTGTTATTTTAAAAATCGCTCCTGACCGAGTGTTTGTTACTTCTGAGAGACTTTTAGTGCCGGTGTCAAGCTGCTCAATTTGGCAGAGTTCTGAAGCCCGAATTGGTTTTTGATGGTTGATAAGAAAGCTAATCCATAATAACCAAATCTGGTAGTTTGATCGGAAGTAAGATTTGAAATGATGACACTTCAAACAAGAATATTTTTTGTAAAGTATGGCCATATACTTTGCAACAACTCATCATTTCTGCTAGATTGTTAGCACAGAATTTATAACAAATTTACTTCTCTGACATTTTCAATTTTCTTTACAAAAGGTAAACTAAGACGTGCTTTGGAATATCACAAACGAGCACTAGTGATAAGGAGGAAAATGTGGGGGAATCACCCATCGATTGGGTCTATCTATAACAACATGAGCGAAACCTATGACCGAATGGGTGACCATAAAACAGCTCTGGAAACGGCAAAGCTTGGATTACAAATCAAGATGTTTTTTAAGAGAGAGCCGAGTACTGACATCATTGACTCGTTGGTAAACGTGGCCAACAATACATGTAATGTTGATGGTGACTGCGAGAAAGCGCACAAGCATATTAAGCAAGCGCTGAAGATGAGAGAGTGTCTGGGTGGCAAGCACACCGATATTGCAAACATCTACCATTGTCGTGGCTTAGTATACAAAAAACAGGGCAATTACAGTCAAGCGCTAGCTGACCTTGAAGACGCTTATCGTATTAGAGATGAGATGTTAGGTAGCCATGCTGATACTGCCAACTCGCTTTTCCATCTTGCTGACGTTGAAATGATCAAGGGAGCAGTAGAGGAAGCTTTGGGTCACTTACACGACTGCTTGAAGATGAGGAAAGAGGGTCTACAAGATCATAACATAGGAATAAGTGAAGTCTTAGAAAAGCTGGGTGACCTCTATCTTCAGAAAAATGATAACACACTGGCAGTGGAATACTGGGAAGCAACAGTAGATGATCTAGTGGGCTTGAGAGCAGAGCTAATTCTGCATAAGGAAGACGATTGGTTGATAAAAATTGACCGGAACATCAAATGCGTCAAAGAGAAAATTATGAGGAGCATAAAATTAATTAGAATATAATGTAATGTAATGTAGTTATATACTTTTATCTGTAATTATTACTGAAACATTCCGCTATTGAAAGACCTGGTGTGCAGTGGCGTAACTACCGCAGGTTCAGCAGGTTAAAGTATAGAAAGTAGGCCTATATTGTGGATTCTAATTAGCATGGCTTGTTTTAACTGCATTTTCAACTTACTTCCGACATACCATTTACTAATATTTATAAAATATTTTAATTTTGTATTTAATCCATCAACTTGTGTTCCTGAAACACAAATAGCATCATCATCTGCAAAAATACTGCAAGTACCAGGAAAAATAAATTTTGAAATATCGTTTATGAATAATAACAAATAATTGGACCCAAGACACTACATGTAGTATGCCAACTCCGATTGATTTGGGGGTAACATTTCACTATTTACTTCCTTCCAGCCAAGGAGCGTTCACGTCGCTGCCTTCGTATCGTTGAATAATAAACCAAAATGCTCGACAGAGTATGAACTCGTATATAGCATCCCTGGGGGGGGGGGGGGGGGGGGGGGGGGCGGGAAGGGGGGGGGGGGGGTGCAGACCGTGCGATCGCACCCCGTAAATTGTATTAGACAAATAATTGTTGTATTGTATTGTTGATATGAATTACCGGTAAGATTTTTAAGGTATGAGAGTGCAGTTTCCGGGCACCTGAGGTCCATATTCTCAAAATTTTCTCACCTTAGCCCCAACCCTATTGCCAATTTTTACTCGTGCAGTTGTTTTTAAGTGAACGATTATTAAAAGGTGATTGTCAGATAAGTGTTTTACAATAATGATCACAGTTATACATAATCTAACGATATCAGGTGTGATCCATTTCATTTTATTTAGCTTAAGTAAATAAAACTAACAACAAGATAATTGTTGACATTGTTCATTTGTTAATCTGATAACAGCACCAATTCAATAAATATCGAATGTGCTTTTTCTTTTGATCATAAGAAGCAGAATTGCTTATTATTATGGTCAGTTTAGCCAATAGCTGGCTCTTCAAAGATGCCCAATGAGAACATCTAAAAATTAAAAATAAAAAAACCCAAAGATTTATTATCAAATATTATAAAAATCAGAAGGACCCATGCTCCAAAACTAACCCACTGGTGGTACACATCTTAGTTCACATGGTTAATCAATTTGCATGCGTCAAGGGCCCCGACTGTACTCTTGAACCAGGGCCCCTTACAACCTAGTTAACTCCACTGCTGGTGTGTTGATGTTGATGGATCGCAAGTTCTCAGCAAGTCTCCTTTTGTCTTTATGATCTGTATGTGTTTGTTGTTTAAAACTGTTGATGACATTCAACACGAAATAGCAGCTGTGTATATAACTAGTAAGATGCTTACAACAAAGTTAAGAATGACTTTATACTGAAGCTGCTGTTTTAATAATATAGATGTTATTCAACATGGGGAAGCTGCTGCTAAGACCTGAGCGTTAACATTGACTGCAAGACCAGCTCAAACTACTTGACTGCAATGAGGATCATTCCTTCTGTTGGTTGATCAAGTACTGGTACTCATCTGTGATATAAACTTAACATTAGGGGAAAACGAAAATATCATTGATAGCGAACACATAAAAAAATGGTTTTTTTTTTCATACAACGAAAAGGAATTTTTGTTGAAGGGCTATGATTGATACGATGATAACATCCTATGTTCCTATCCAAGCACTTTTATTATTTATTAATACAGTATGTTGTTGGTGCATACGCAGCAAATACCTAATCTGAATATTATTTACTGTATGACAGAGAGGGCTTAGGGGTTAGATTTGCCTATGGCCTAACGGTATGATACTCGCCTTGACAGTGAGACATTGCAGGTTCGAATCCCGCTACAGGCACTTTTTCATACAAGAAAACCTTTCGTTGATGAGCTATGGCCTGATAAAATAATAACATCTTATGTTCATATCTGAGCAGTGTTATTATCACTTATCTAATTGTTTATATTGTGTTTAAGGTGCTACGCAGCAAACCTAATTTAAATGTTATATTATATTATATTGTGTTGTATATAGGTATATATAAATAGATAAATAATAATAACAGTGCTTTATATGAATATACATATATCAAATATACCATTCAAATTTATGATTCCGATTTAAACAAAAATGTAGACATGTAGACAACAAACTCCAATGGAAACCTAAAACAAACTCAACAATGTCTCGATCCATCAGACTTCTGAAATCCCCGAATGCATACTACTGTATCACCTAATGTTCAGTTCATCTCTATTTGACTCTAATTTCTTCACATATCGTCAACTCCAATTTTGTTAGAGCAGTTATTGACTCAAAACACCAAACTCTCTATTCTTGGTGAACTACTGTATGAACAACCAACTATTATTGAATTCAAATCAGAATTTACTTAGAGTGATGAATTTGAAATTCTCATGAATTCAGAACACATTATTGTAACTGAATGTTGGTTTAATCATCGTCATCATTCCAACCAAATGTCTATGCCGAACTATTTTCTTTTTACAAATCTTCGTAATGGACGAGGAGGAGGTGTTGCTGTCTACGTAAATAATAACATTTACGCTACTCAACTCGGTATTGATATTCCTCCTGAACTTGAAGTTGTTTGGTTGAAAGTCAGACCGACTAGGTTACCTCGGGGAATTTCTCAAATTATCATATGTGCTGTTTATATTGTCACCAATTGACGCAAGAAAATCATATGATTAATACTATCGAAAGTATCATTGCAAGATCTGTTCAAACAACCTTTTGTATTTTTGGCGATTTTAATCGCATGAATATTGCTCGCATACTCCAAGGCAATGGATTAAAGCAATTAGTGAAGTTTAACACCAGAGGAAATGCTATCCTTGATCTGATAATAAAAAAAACATTGACAGTTATTATATGATACCTTATCCACTAGCACCAATCGGTAAAAGTGACCACAAATGTGTTATCTGGAAGCCCAAGTCAAGAAAAATTACTAACACAATTACTCGGATCACCATCTGTCCTTTTTATGCAACTCACTTTCATGATTTTAGCCAATGGCTAAATAGGGAGAACTGGGAAATTATTAGCAATTGTTCCACCACTCAGCAAAAAATGGATGAACTTTATAAGATTTTGAACTCTGGTTTAAGTAAATACCTTCCTACCAAGAGTAAGGTTCATAACAGTTATAAACCCTGGCTTACAAATCATATTAGGAAACTTATATCTGACAGACAGAATGCTTATGCATCTGGTAATTTTTCACTTTATAAGAATCTTCGTAACAAAGTTAAGCGCTCTATTACTGATGCTAAAAACATTAATATAACAGTAGAATAAAACACCTTTACCAAGAAAAGCCACGTAAATGGCATCAATACATCAAAAGGTCTCTGATATCTCACACCAAGACAATGTTGCAATTGCCAACGCAATCAATGCCCAATTTACTAGTTTTGGTCATGGCCACCGAAAATAAATTCCACGCCCCCTCATATTTTGGTCGCGTCCCCCACCAGCCCCCACATTTTAATACTGCTAGATACGCCACTGCTGAGGTCGCTGAAGTTTTTGTTTGTTACTTCTGACATTCAACCATCTTTAGATGCCCGGCAATATGGTAATGTAAAAGGTGTCTCAACATCACATTACCTTGTCCGTCTTGTCCACGATCTGTGCTCTGGCGCTGGCTTTTGATTTAATTAAACATAACATCCTTGTTCAAAAAGTTATCTCTTGTGGTGTCCGTGAGTCGATCGATCCCTGGATTTGTGATTTCCTCTGTGGCAGAGAGCAATGTGTTAGGTATAAAAATAAACTATCTAGGTACATAACCCTTAATGCTGGTATTCCACAGGGATCAAAATTTGGTGGTGTCGGATTTAAAATCATGATCAATAATGCGGTTATGAACTCTAAATCTCTTGCTTTAAAATATGTCGACGACCTCTCCATATATGAGAACCGGCATATTGATCAGGTTAGTCATCTCCAAGATGATCTTAATCAGTTTTACATATGGTGCGAAAACAATTCTCTTCATCTTAACCCGACTAAATATCAAGCACTCCAATTTTGTTTTAGTAAGAAAGCTCCCAATCTGAATTTGTTTCTTGGCGGTACTATTTTAAATTTTGTTGAGGAAGCTAAGGTCTTAGGAATTACAATCCAACAAAATTTGAAATAGGACAGTCATGTTAACTATATTACTAATAAAGCAAATCAGAAATTGTATTTCCTTAGATGTTTAAAAAACATTGGATTTAATGTTGAAGAATTAATCTCTACTTTTTGCTGCTATATAAGACACCATTGTTGAATACGCTGATGTAGTTTGGCATCCAGGATTAACTAAAGCCCAAACATATTCTATATAATGTATTCAGAAAAGAGCATGTAAGATTATTCTAGAGCGTAATTATAATTCGTATGAAGACGCTCTCACTAATCTTAACCTTGATTCAGCAGGGGCGGATTTAGGGGGGGGGGCGGCCCGGCCCCGGCCCCCCTTTTGGGAGGTAAAAAAAGAAGAAAAAAAAGAGAGAAAAGGGAAAAAATGATGGCCAAGAATGCCTCAAATGTTATGTTCGGCGTCTAGAACACAAAAATTTCGCGGGGGCATGCCCCCGGACCCCCTACGGCAGTGTTGTCTCAATCGGCCCAACTTTCGGACCCCCTTCCGGTCCCCCTTTTGGACATTTCTGGATTCGCCCCTGTTCACTCTCTGATAGGAGAACATCTCACTGTCTCAAGTTTGCAAAAAGTCTTCCAAACACGAATCATTCCTATGATCTCATCCCCCCTACCGTTTTGAAAATCACGGTAGGAACCTACGTAATAAGAATAATATTACCCAACTTAATTCTAAAACGAAACGTTTCTCTAATAGCCCAATTCCCTATTATATCAAACTTATTAACCAACAGCAAGCTTGAACCAGTAAGATGCCGATTCTGTTTTTATTATTCAAATAAAATCCAATATTGTCAACTTATTGTTAAATTATTGTTAAATTTTTGATAAATTTTTGTTAAATTATTGTATTTTTATATTATCATTATGAATTTTAAATATTTAAAAATTATAATAATTATTGTAATTATCTCTTTTGTAAATAACATGCAATTTGGCCTTTGGCCACCATATGTTATTAATTTTATGTGATTTTGAAATAAAGTGATATATATATAGCTACAAATTCAAAGCATACAAATACTAACTCGATATATTTTTCTTAAATTTTTCGCATGAAAATATAAACATATCTAAACTGTAATAAAAGCATCCGTTAATATAAGATTTTTGACTTTGGTTTGGTAGAAAACGAATAGAACAAACTCAGATTTCAATGTGTGCAATGAAATTATTTACAATGAAAACACATTAAATCAATCAGCAATCAGTTCAATCAATTAACCAGTCAATAGATCAATAAATTAATCAACCAATATAAATAATCATAATATTAGCCTGGGTCATGAAGACGTCAAACTTCAAAGATTATTCAGTTAAAGGTTACTTTTAATGAAAATGTCAGGTTAAAGTTTTTTTAGGGGCTGGGGTTGATTGGCCGAATAATATTCTATAGGAGAGCGCCCCCAGCTTCGGCACCCACGAACTTTACTAACTTTAGCGCGAACTGACGCTTGACATTTTGAACGTTGGCAATATTTTATAGGTTGTCAGTCAAAAGCCCATATATTAGCAATGCCTAGCCTCATCCAAATATCAGCTACTGTATTTTACTGTTTACAGCATTAAAAAATAACCTATCTACAGTATCAGTTCAAAAAAAATTATTTAAACCCACTATCATTGACGTTCGTGACAGACTTTGCAAATGCTGCGGCTTTACAGATTTTAAATTGAAATGTAAAATCTATAATCATGCCAAACATTTTTTTACTAAACGTCATCTTAGAATAAGCACCTTTTAAATATTATTCTATTGTGAATAAATATCGCATAAATATTATACCAGTACAAAAATATTTATTGGGTTAAGGGGCATGGTTCAAATTATAGCCCGAGGTGATCTGGAGGCTGTCCCGGGAAAAAAGTCGAGGAACAATGTACAGCCTCCAGATAATTTGAATTATGACGATTGTAGGAATATTGGCCGGCTAGGAGGGAATGGCTGGAACTATTGCCCAACTTTTAACCAATCAAATACCTGGAATTATGTTAGTCGAACAGGAAACTATAAACTACCGATTTTCACGGATTAAATAGTAATAGTATTTACGTACATGAAAGTTTGCATGAAAAATATATGCTTGCGGTAAACCACGTAGATAATTCAGTTCTGAAAAGAACTGTTTTTGTTGAGAATGTCTTGAAGTTGCGATGTAGTTTTTAATTCCTCCAGGCTTCAGTCAGATCTGCGAGTCCAAACAGGGAAATACTTTTTGGGAAGTGGAGCTTGCTGTTGATTGTACTTACTTCGGTGCATGCAGCAAGTTAGTTTGGCCATGTTGGCAACGCAGTTTACTACCGTAATCTAATAATTCGTATTAAATGCTGCTATCGAAGCGACTATGAAAGCTAAAGAAATTATAAGAGCGGACGCAGAACAGAGGGGTAGTAAGTGCATACATACATCTACATACATCTGGTTTTGCCACTATTTTTCCAAAGTAAAAATCAAAATTTACCAAAAATCATTCATTCGCAACAACACTCTATAGGTCAGATGAAAATAACAAAAAGCAATATATTTTAATCTTCTCATTTTATTTATAAAGGTTTATTTACAATGATGAATCATCACAACTACAAATACAGTTTATAACAAACAATTGAATCAAAACATCGGCTCTTCAATCGTAAAAACAAATTTTAAAAACTACATTGATGCTATCAACAGAGGAGATGGTAACGTTCTGAATATAAACCAACAGTTCCTATAGACTTCAATGTTAAGTCAACGTATCCAATGAACGACATCGGACATTACAAGAAAGTGTACTGAATTCACGATATATACGGTAGTTGTCCAAGGCGTAGATTAAATCAAAGAGACAATATCATAATACTATATTTAAATACAATTAGGCCTAAAAAACAATATACAATAGGTAATAAAGAATAACTGAGGTAATCTGGTTAACATGACTTTGTTTAGCGTGCATTATGTATTGTAAGATGCCTTTTAGAAATTTAGCGCCAGGATTCCCTCAATTAGAGGGAAACGGCGCCCTCTATTGATAGATATGAAATAATATTGTACTGTATATACTGAAGTTGTGAATCAATTCTTATAGATGTTTTCCATTATTGGAACATGTGTTAACTCAATAGAAAGACATTTAAAACAACGTGGAGCTATAAGATCAAAGTGAATAAACAAGAAAATTTATAATATAACATAAGCTTCATTTTATAATTACAAAATTATAGTTTTCTTTTGGTTTCTTTTTTAAATTAAAAGTCGTGAATTAGCTGATTTATTGTAATTATGCATGTATGACCACTGTGTTGTAAACATCAATCGAGGGACAACATTTTTGACGGAAAATATCCAAATAATACACTCGCTAAACACTTAATATCAGTATTGTCTAACAAATTCAATTCCCTTGGTCTAACACATCTAGAAGCGCCCTCTAATGTTGCCACTTCTCTAAACAGCTGCTGTTTGTCGAAACTTTAAGGCTTCATTCGAGTGTCAAGCCAAGCTGGCCACCACCATTGTTAAAATTTAAAATTTAAAAAAGCCAAAAAACGTCATCACATTACAATAACATTATTTCATACATAGCTTTTGGCAACAAATTTCAATGTCTGACAAAAAAAAATCTGGGAAAATTCTCCATATCAAACAATACTATAAAATATATGCAGTAATTGAGCAAAGCCTCAAAACTTCTTGAGATTTTAATGTTTTATGTGTACTGGGCCCTCTGGGAGAACAGTAACTTCTTACTGAAGAGGTAACCCAGTATAAAGAATAAATAAATAAAATAAATAAATAAAAATAAAAACAGACTGCCTGGAAGTAATAAACAACCATAACTAAGCCCTTACCTCATTATCCCCAATAACCAAGGTATGCATCCACCTTTAAAAGGTACAATGTATCAATAAAATGTCTACAATCTATAAACAGGTTCATCTACAGTAAATTTTAAATAAAAAAAAAATTACATATTCATTGCTTTGAAAATGTTGAAACAATTTTCTTTTTAAAATCCATTTTCTGGATTTCTGAAAAATTACGAATTTATAATTTTTATAAACTCGGAATCTTATTCTGATGTGAAATATATTTACTAAGAGAAGTTTAAATACCATTTCAATATTTACCTATTATTTCCTCAGATACTAAAAATAATAGAAATTGTGGAATAATTTCTTATTATTTTTGTTAGCGCAAGAGTTCTAAATTTCAGCAATTCATTAAATTCCAGCACTAGGTATTTTCAGATGTTTATTTAAAAAAAATGAAGGCCCTTTTTTAAAAAAAATTATTATTATTCATTATGTCATCATTACCAAAAGCATGTCCTTTTTCAAATTACATATTATTACATTTTACATTCATATCTTTCTGTGAATCAGTTACATAAATACAGAACAAATTCAGACAAAAGTAGACAATAAAAAACAATAAAAATGAATAAAAAAAATAATTCCAATGAATTGTGCAAATAAGAACAAATATTCTACAAGAAAACCACTATCTTAATTTTTGTACAAGTCTATTTACACCGAGGTTATAATATGCTTAATAACAAATTTCTTAACTAAATTATGCACAGGTTTAAAAGGAGTTCATAATGTAACTACCCTCCATTAGGTCAAAAAAAAAATTATTGTTTGCGTTGGCAACGTTTTTGTAAAATCCAAAAAATGGGTAGGTCAGTATGAAAACTTCTTTTTTTTTTTCCAAAAATGTGTTTACACTTAATATGTAGAAAATACACAAATAATACAACAATTTTAGATTTGAATCACATACCATGCAGCAAAATAGGCTAGGCCTTGGCACCCTAGCTTAGGGCAAGGCTTTTCCAGCCTTATTAACTCATGAAAAAAAAAAATTGTTCGTTGTAGTCAAAAAAAAAAAAAAAAAACTAAACTAAAAAAGCTAAAAATGTTCGTTGTAGTCAAAAAAAAAAAAAAAAACTAAACTAAAAAAGCTAAAATGCCAACCCTGCATTTTGTAAAATTTGGGTCGGTCGTGCGTGGCCAACACAATAATTTTTTTTTTATTTGACCTTATTAACGTGAATGCATATGGGAACCTTAAGAATAACATGATTTAAATAGATTCATCTTCCTTAGCTGCTCATAAGCTGCAGTTAACTTATTGGAGACAAACTACTTTTTTTTTTACCAGAGTACTATCATTACTAGCCTAGGTTCCAGGCCATTATTTCTTATATTTCAGAACATCCCATACAAGGCCACCAACAAGCAAAGTAAGCTTCGATTTTTTCAGTCCCAGTGTTGCACGCTGGTGGTGCTGTACAATTGAAGAGAGATTAGGTGCAAGTTTCTTTAAATGCAAAAAACATTGGTTTTTCTCTAACAAACTGTATGCAACCAAAAAAAAATCCCCCTCTTAAATTTATTTTAGCCTATGACCCTTGACTTGATTTACTTTATTTAAAGGTATACTGAAACCCAAAAAATCATGGGAAAAAAAAATCAAAATTAAACTTTAAATTGCACGTTCCAAGAACCACATAAGTAACCATCATTCAAGAAGTCAGTGAAAATTTTAAAAAAAAAAAGAAAAGAAAAGAAAAATCCATTTTCAAATCCTTAAATTTGCTGTCAGGAAATTAAGTGTACAATCCTTAGTTGAAAGCTTATTGAAATATACAAATTAAATACTGTAGTTTCTCAGGTATATGCCTACCTTCCTTAAACCCCAAATTGGGCTGATTTGGGGTGTGGATTTATACTCAAGGAATCCTCTTTTCAATCAAAAGGAAATTTTTCATCACTCCATGCTAAGTCAAAGCCAATATTTAGCTAAGCTACTCATTCAAATACCCTGGGTTTATGCTCGAGAAAAGCCTTATATAAACAAATTGGGCATAAAGTAGGGATTGGGCTTATACCTGTGGAACTTTGGCATTCAATTTTTTTTAATTTTCAAGCTCATATTAGATTTAGGTGGCAGTGTCTCTTGGATATTATTTTCTGTCAACCAGCACTGAAAAAAAATTTATCAACAGATTTTTTTCCGATTTACACTAGTCTTCTTTTTTCTTCAAAACATTTAAAATGAACAAACCATGGAATATTGTACATATTATTTGTGGATAAAATTGATAAATTGTGAAAATCAGACAGGAATACCATGGTTACCATAGTTGTAATTGGGAATTAGTATAAGACAGTTTAGAATACTGTTATTAAACCACTTAGTTAAATCGATAAATTCTGTACACAACTAAACACAGTTTATATAGGCCTACTTATATTTTCATATACAAACTGTACAGCACTCATTTGCTATTCTCCTGCTATAACGTATATATGAACATATATGAAATAGATATGAGGTAGAAACCGGAAAACTTTTTAAAGAATTCCTACTGCTATATTGTTTTTATATCCTATTCAAAAAGGCTTCCAGATTCCAGTTTACCCTGAGGAATTTAAACAACACAGTATTTATGATTAACAACTTGCTCTAAGCTACAATTAGAAACATATTTTCAATTTCTGTTCCTTCTGTTACAATTTCCCAATATCATATCATATTACCATTCTACATACATCAATTTTTTTTTTGTGCTAATCTTTTTTTTTTTTTATAAAACACAACACCACCTATACTACCATTAGACAGTGAATAATTCAATTGACAGCAGCATAAACATTTTAAAACAGGGTCATTACAGTTTTTTTTTTTCTTTTTCCATTTTCTTAAATTTATTTCTGTCTTCTGCCACCATTTCATCCAAGATAAATATTTGTTATTTTTCTCAAAATAGTGAATTTGTAGAGAAACATGGAGAACTGGAACTAATTTGTTTCAACCAATTATCCTGAATAAAATAGAGGTACAGTATTAGTTAGACATAATTAGCATATTAAGTTTGAGAATAGCTTTAAAAAAAATCTCTTATTTTCACCTTTAAAATACAAAGTGTATATACCGGCTGTAACTCAAATTTGCGACCCCACTGTCTGTCACAAAAATGATGAATAAATGAATAGGTGTACTTGTAGCTAAATATATACTGCCTTAAAACTGCTGTTAAAATGATTATCTATTATATTATTTCTCCGAGTTGATCAAGACTAACAACTATTAATAGTTAGTGTTTTGACACAGTGCAGACACTTAAAACACATCTAAGGTGAAGATAATGACAGATAGCTTTGAAGCAGTAAAAATATTCTTAAAAATCCATCACAAACTTGCCGATTTATATCCTCTATCAAATGACATTTTTGTACTATATTTACATTAAATTATGTGCTATCGTTGAGACAATTAAATTTAGCATTCCTTAATAATACTACCCGTAAAATTTTCTCTTGCCTTCATTAAATAGTTATTAGTTATTGTTAAAGTCTGGACTTGCAACACCTTGTTACCAATGCCTGTCCTGAATAATTACTGTATATGTTTCAATATAGTTATATTAATTTTTTTTATGCCAGCAATCACTATTAGCTCTTTGTCAACAATGCATGCCTGATGAGACGTTTGGTGAAGAAAAGCATCAAACTTATGATTTGTATAAGCTCAAATCATTTGATTTAAAACAATGTAAAAGTTCCACTTTCATGATTAGTTTATCACATATTATGTCTAAAAGCCTGTCCAGTCACATTTCGTATGTGACAAATATAATGAGGCTTTTCATCCCAAAACCAGCACCACCGACCAACAAATGAAAATTGACTTTGTAATATATCCTTATTCTCAACATTGTAAGCTTTAAAATGATGGGTCACTTACTGGAATTGATTTAATATTGCCAAAGTTATGAGTCAAAGTATTATGACTTATCTGTACTACAGTATCTGCCACATTCTTATGCTAATTTCTCAGTTTAATATTTAGCAACAGTACTGTATGCTGGTTTGGAGGATGGCATGCCTCATATGTGATTTTTCCTGTGGCAGGTTGATGTCATATCATATTGTTATTGTTTATTTCTTTACTTGTCTCTTCTACTCTGTATCTGTTATATATTTCCATTGGACAATGGTTAAAATCACAGAGACACCAAGTATTATGCACTATCAGGTAGGATTACAGCCATTACCATTTTTCAAAAAATCACAGGTATTTTTCACATAAAACCTGATTGTATGTATAGTGCATAAAACAAGAATATCCTATCCAATTGTCTGATCACACACATCTCTGTCTGACAGACAAAACTCTGATAGCTTATGTACAGCTTTAGAAGCCTAGTTTTTGAAGTCATATTAGGGTGTTTAAATAACACTTGTCAAAAACGGAACAGAGCACATACTTACATAAACGGTGTCCTATAATTTGAGTTACAGAAAATTTGTGCTCATCATCAACATTGTATTCAAGATTTTAAGTATTACAGTAGATATACATCTCTGTTTATGGTGCTCGTAGAACGCAATTTGGTGCAGAACAACACCATGAACAAATCTCATGCATAAAATAAAATACACAAAAAACACTCAATTTCTTTTGTTGAAATAAAAAACAAAAGTCAAACGAACTGAGTATAATTGGTGAAATAGATAGAGTTTTTTTTCCAAGCCTTCATTACAGGTCTTATAATCTACTTTTTCCTCGGCTACTGTTTTGTCTTCGGTAGCTCTCCTGCTGGTATTCATTGGGAAAGTTTAATAATGGACATTGTTCCTGAGAGTAAAATCTTGCCTGTTCACTTGGCTGGCATATATATTTACCCGAAGTAAGCCCTAAGGGGCTTACCCATGTCCTGCTATTTCAGTACACATCACCTCCCACTACTCACATGATCGAATCAAACCATAGCTAAATCGGCACTATTCATCATTCCGTTCATTGGGATTCCGTTCGGATTAATTGTTGGTCCAAATCCATTTAATGTGTGTCCGTTGTTGCCGGCGTAACCGTTACTAGTACAACCGTTCGGTACTTGTCGGTAGCCTGCATATCCATTTGAAGTTGGTTGATATGGAGGTGGTTGGCTTGCTGATGTCTCCTCTTGATTTCTTCTTGGAATTGCTGTAAAGATATTTTTTTAGATAGAAATATATAAATGCTGCTGCTCTCAGAAAAAAAAAAATCATCTTAACCAGCATATATAGCTCCTCACAACATGACAAAAAATTTCAAGAGGAGCTGAGAAACAAATAGGAGAGATGATTAGAGTAAGCTTTATTCTTATTTTAACCTCAGACACAATTAATTATCACTTTGATGTAAAGATGAATGCGACAGACAACCCTGACACAAGCTGAGTTATGTGGTTAAACAAGCATAAGAAGAGTGAATTATTTAACACAGGCAAACCTAAAAAATGTGATTGATGGTTAAAATTAGTTTAACCATTAAGCTAATAGCTTTATGACTTAACACTATATTTACAAGTCATTCAGATAGATAGAAAAGGCACAATTACCATAAAATATGAAGTAGAAAGATGAATTTCCAAATTCGAGCAAACCAAATATATGATTATACCTGTATAGGTGGTTACACAGTTTAACTAACATTTCAGTTTACACCTCAATCTGGGAAAATCACATCAGCATAACTCTAACACTAATGTCAGATTGATGGAATTAAACAAATGTGAGCCAGCCAAAAAAAAACAAAAAAAAAAAACAAAAAAAAAAAACAAAAAAAAAAAAACTCCTCTCTAATTGGTAGTGAGAGTGTCAGTTTAAAGTTTTAGTTACACCTCAGATAGGGATCACTTCAGGGCAATAGGATTCTGGTGCGAAGATCAATGTCACAGCTGACAGACACATCAAAATTTAATTATCTGGTTCAGATGATAGATAGAAATTAGGTTCAAAAAACCTCCTCTTATAAAACTAGCTTCAGTCCTTCACAATAAATAAAAGTTTGCTGCCTTGGGAGCGGATTTAGGGGGTGCCGGTAGGAAAGTGTAAAAAAAAAAGAAATTATTGATCACCCAAAACAACCAGAGATTATTTTCGGGCCTCTAGAAAACAAAAATTTCCCAGGACCCCCTAGGGTAGCATTGTCTCTTGATCAGTCCACGTTTCAGACATCTCTGGATACGCCCTGTGCCTAAAAGCTATATTATACTTTAAGTAGATAAGATCATGCCGACTCCAAAAAAACTAAGAGAAGCCATAGTGATTCAATATTTCGTACTTTATTCCAACATCTATAGCTTCTCTTAGTCTTTTTGGACACATTGCACATTTTGATGGTAATCATGGGCTACATTTACAGTAAAATTAAGGGGTGTTTATTTGAGTATATACATATCCATTTTACAACAAAACGCCTCCCTCAAATTAAATGCCCCGGGGTGTTTATTTGAATATTTAAGGTAATAGTTATTATAGAGTAACATGGACAAGCAATGGATCAGCCTAGGGCAAAATATTTTGGCAAACCAATGTAGATGCCTGAAACCAGGTCAACTAACTGAATGAATGAATGAAATGAATGAATGGATGAAAAAATGAACATGGACATAATATACACAAATTATAGGAAATTGGACATTTTATTCAAAGTAACAGAAACCCCGATTTAACAAATTCCCGATTTTACGAACATAAAATAAAGGTGATGACATCATAAAAATTTAAGCGAAAGATTAAAAAAAAAAAAATTCCGCTCGAATTGTAATTGTTATTAGCATGCATACAACACAACACACCATACTATACAATACTATGTAATTCTCAAGTGAAGGAGGCCCTCTAACAGGTCTCTTCAAAGTCGGTGTTTTTTATGGCTTCGCACATGTGCATGCGACAAATTTTACTTCTCATCCAAACATCGTTTTCAGCTTTAAAATTCAACATAGTGCTTGATTGTTTTATTGAATGATCAATATATATAACAAACAAGTACTGTATCTATGGAAGTTGTGTTGGAGTAAAATCCACAATCTAGGTAAAACTAATTTGTGTAGGGCCAAGAGTGGGATCAGAATGCTTAGAAGCTGCCTACTGTAGGCCTAGGCCCCCTCAGACTTAGCTGCATAGGCCTGTAGGTCTAGCCTAGGCCTAGTTTATGCCAGTGTAAGTAGTACCAGTGCAAATATATAGGAATTTGTCAACCCTGATTTTACGAATACCATTTACGAATGGTTCTGGGCCCATGCCATACGTAAATGAGGGATTCTACTGTAGTACATTATGTAGTGAAGTAGCATTATGTAGTGAAGATATGACTAGTCAATTGAAAGTTGGGAAAATCGTTTTTAAGATATTCACATACCATAAAAAATATACAATATATTTTTAAAAGTAAAACATTATTCTAATCTGATGCCTTGTTTGGAATTTATGACCACTTACAGTGAATTTATCTTTAATCATCTTATATTTACTTTTTTATTCCAATCATAATGAAACATAAACATCATTTAATAGATGAGACCTTTTAAATGTGGATTTCAAAATAAAAAAAATTAATGCAAGTTTGTATTTTACCTGTATGTACATGGATACACCAAATAGCAGTTACAAAGAATATACCCATAAGAAATGCAGCAAATGCAATGCCAACAACTTGTTTGGTGTTCAGACCAATTATCTCTGTGAAATGAAAAAAAAATCAAGTAGCTGTATAAGATAATTTAAAACTAGGGCTCATAGGGCTGGAGCTTATCCCCATTATCTGTAGCGTGAAGTGTATGAGAGTGTAATACTTCCCAGAGTGGGATGCTGGTCCACCGCAGGTTACTTTCATCAATTTGCTGGTACCCATTGATACAGCTGAGTAGACTGAAGCAACATACTTTAGATGGATTGAAACCCTGACCTCGAGGTTGGGAAACCAAACCATTCCCACTGCACCAAACTGCTTCCTATAATTTATCTTTATTTGTGAAAATAATGATCACGTTGTGGTTACGTGCAGCAACATCGTTGAGAATAAACTCACCAGTTGTCTTTGGTGCCTCGGTAGTAACCGTTTCAATGTTTGATCCAACATCTGAGGAAAAATTAATAAAAACTTGAGCCATGATAACAATTACAAGATATATTTTGTTTTATCATCCAATCATTTTTGCCTGAGTTGTAACATAAGTTTACAGCCAAACCGATTAAAAAATATTTACACATATCATCATAATGGAAGAAGATAATAGGGGTGAACGTTGTTTGCATTCCCATCCCAGAGTCCTTTTTTAAAGGCCAACAGTATACAAACGCAATATAATACAATAATACAATATAAAAATTGGAATAGTGGGGCTGCCTTTTAAACAACAGACACAGCTGATATAGTTATTAAAGTTAAAGGTAAAGTATTTGTACTGACTGGAGATATTCCAATAATAATACATTCATAAAATAAAGTTCAAGGGCATACATTTTTTAAGGTAATTATCTTGTCAGGATATTGTTGTCCCCAGAGGCAAAGGAAACAGTCCTTCTCTGGCTGAATTTAAAATTTAAAATAGTGTAGATTATTTAGCAGAGCCTGGGTACAATGTGAGAATTTTGAAACAAAAAAAACCTCTACAAAATACTTTTGCAGCTCATTAAAAAACAAATTAACTTACTTGATTCTGAGTTAGGTGATTTTATTGTTTCAGGAATGATTTTCGGCTCAAAGTGAATCTTGTATGTGGTATGAAATTTACTTTCAATCGGATCTCGCAGCGCACATGGCAAGTCTGTCTTTCTGTCAGGACACTAAAAAGAAAATGTAAAAAGTATTAGAAATCTTGCCTGATATCATGAACCACAGGAGTGGCTTGGTGGTTAAGATGCTTCTCTTCCTAACACAGGTTCTGGGTTTAATTTCTAGGTAACAAGATATTTTTTCATGATTAATGCCTGTGCACTCTTTGGCACATAACGTCTAGAAAAATGTTCTGTGGGTGGCTGTCCTTAGAAAGGGACTGTCACTAAGAAAATGAATAAGATTATTATTGGCATGTCAGTGGCACTTATGCCTAAATACTTAAAATTAAATTAAATTTTACTTAAAATTTAAAAAGCAGATATGTAACACCTGGGCTCATTTTATGTTGGAATGTTTTGCTCACACCCAAGAGATCAATGGTTTGAATTCAGACAGTCAATGCAAGTGTACTTTGTCTACATTTCCTTACTTCTAGACTGTTGGATGTTCTCACTTCACTCTATATCATACATTGGACCTTAGAGCACTGAATGTACATCGCAGTGACTGGATAATATTTATCAATATGGATATACACCTAGGAGACAATTCCATGCACTTTCGAACTGTCTTAAGACTTTAAAATGCATTACACATGTATGTTTAAGCTTGCGGTACACCACGTAGGTAGTTCTCAAAAAAGAACTGAGTAGTTGAGAAAGTGTCGACATTTCGATTGAGCTGCTTCAATTGTCTTCAGGAGAATATCTACAGAAATTCCAAACAGGGAAATACTTGTAAGTTTGGGTAGAGATGCTGGCTGCTGGTTAGATGAATAAACTGACCAATGAGAAGACTGCTAGTGAAAGGCTAAAACAAAAGCCATTGTTCACTGAGAGAAAGGATGGGAACGACTGAAGCAACTCAATCGAAACGTCGAGACTTTCTCCACTACAACAGTTCTTTTCAGAACTACCTACGTGGTGTACCGCAAGCTTAAACATAATGTCATTACTTCGCCATGCAAAGCTTCAAACAATACTTAGCACTACACATATTAAACTACATTACGCTATCATCATTTCACCTAGATATTAATTCATCCTAAGGCAACGTACAAAAAGAATCAAACACAAACCTGAGGATATTTCTGTTTCTTGTGAGGACTACAGATAGCAACCTCACATGTGAGTTCATAAGGTGCTTTGGATTCAAATGGTAATGAATTAATCCTCATCGACTCATTGACATTCCTTGTTAAGATCACGCTGTCCAAGTCAGTGCACCCATTCTTAATAATGACATTGTCCACTATGGCCCCATTGACCGACGTCACACTGCAGCTCCACACTGTGGCTAATATATTAGGATCGTTATATATGGTCGACACACTAAACTGTAGTGGAGGACACTTAGGTCCAGTGCAGATCTTGTAAGTGACCGGGATGTCCTCTTGCTCCTCAAACTCGTGGCCAAGTGTGCTGGAGATGATAGTATAGCTGCAATGTACTTCTGACACAGAGGGACGTCGTTGATTGCTAGCATCCTCGTCATCAGGGAGCAGACCTGAGCCGCCATCTTCATCAGTTAAACTGCTGCCATTTTCAATTGCGCCAGGGTTAAAAAGGACCTAGGGATTTAAAAAATAATATTAAGTAAAGATATTGTTGCAGAACTAACCATCCTCAAAATTTCTTCTATAACATTAAACAATAACATAATTATGTTATAACTAATAATATCATTTGATTTGGATGCACAAAGATAAATAATGCTTTCAAATATGTTTCATTGAGATAAGAATTTTAGAACAAATAGGATAGACATGTTTATTAAAATTCGACCAAGAGAATAACTCTGAAGGTTATGGCCAGAATTAAAACTTTTGTAACAAATCTCTTACCTCATTAACATAAACAAACTGTTTAATAGAACTTTTCAACTCCATTCCACACTGTCCTAACTTTGATGTGAAGACCATGTGCGTCTCATTCACTGTAGCGTTGCAGCCTCGATCACGCAGGCTAATATCTTTTGGCCGCATGTTATACTTTCTGAGCGTGGTCAGTGAGATGGCTACAACCATGCTCTGGTTGTAACACTGCGTGTGAATGATGTGTTTCAGCAAGTTGTCACCTTGAAGTACCAGTGATGAATCTTGAATTAGAATATTTGGGGGCATTGGAACCCCTGGAGCTGAAGGGATAAAAGAATAAACCAATCGAAAATAAATCACAATTCTGAGACACATCTATTTAAGAGGTAGTCTTGTGTGTTGGATTGGATTTCTGCGGTGTTATACACACCAAAGATAACCCACAAAAATCCTAAGGCTCACTTCCAGTGGGGTCCTTCTGGAGGTGACTTGGGCACTACACCTGGAGACAATGCCCTACTCTTTTCAGAAGAGTGTACTGCGTTCTTTATCAAGAAAATGAGCCATCTTGCACACGGGGCCAACAGCTTAAACGTCCTGAAAGACGGTGCTCTTTTAAAATTTACACTTCAGCCCTTCAGCTTAAAAACAAGGACAGCAACGATGGTAATTGAACAAGGGACTAAGAGATCTCCACAGTTCAACATACACACAGTGGCTATCACCAGTTTAGCCAACTGAGCTAGATGCTCTCTCATGTAGGATCATCTTTGTATAGAAACGTAAACATCATGAGCTTTGTGCCCTTGATTAAACAGGGGTCTCACAAGCCTGACACAGTGTCTAGATAAACCTAGGGACTGCCAATAGCCTCGGTGTCACTGTCCTCATATAATTCCGTCATGAGGTTCATGGTGACAGATTTCATGGTTTAGGATGGCGTGAAACTGTGCTTTCAGACCACAATACTTACTGTAGGATTGACAATTACCATAATTTATTTTGGATCGGCAATTTACAGACGAGGTCCACACTTGTCTGACAGGAAAAATAAAATAAATAGCTTGTTTTTATTTTTTATTAGAGGATGCAGGGCAAAAGTTTTAACCCTATAGAAAGGCCCTGCATAGGTTGGGCCTAAAACCAAGCCAGGGCCTGTAGCATAAACCATTTTTACATACCTTCCAGAGTGACTTCAATTCTGTTTGCTGTATCAACTGAGAGGTACTGAACCACACCTCTATACTGGCGCTCCAGGTACTCCACTAGATCTTGACCAGATTCATTCTCAAATTCCGGGCTTGGTGTAACACTCTCAAACACATAGTCTTGTGAACTAACTTTACCATTACTCTGGAATAAACAATAAATTCTTACAACTGAAAATATGATGAAGCTTTTGAGATGATAATTTTAATAATAATATACAGTAAACAATGTTAATAAATACGTAACAATAAAACTATAATGAGCTTTGCATTGGTTGTCATGATTCATGACCTCTAACCTCACTGTTTCAAATTCAAATATGAGGCAATGATATCATTTTAGATTAGCACATGATTTGTTTGTGTGTGGATGTTTTTAATATGAGTTATGAATTAGAGCTTCACTGAACAAATGTTTGTTTAGTATATATTCACATTATAAATTTACATTATTACTATAATATTACATTTTCAATACAATTTTATAGGCCTATAAAAATATAATAGTATTTAACAATAATTGAAATGCTGTGATTATATATCTATGATAAATTTACATAATATAGCTTTCTGTATTTTCTGTAGAGAGCAATGAAGTTTTACTGTATTTATAACTCCACACTAAATATATGTTTTCTGTATGCTTTACAATGACTTCTTGTTAATCGATTACTGCTACTCTAAATACTTAGCAAGAAGTTACCAGTATTTGTATTTAACAATTTTAGTGATAATTCTCACACTAGTTTAATTCTATAACTTTATAAATGTATGTTGTATGTTTCTTGATATTCTATAAATTTAGCTGAGCTAAGGACTTATCAAAATGACCAGGTTCATACTTAAACATAAAACCAAAACATCCAGAAAGCTCATTTGTTTGGTTAAATGATACTACAATCTTGCATACTACTTGACACTGACCCATTAGCCTTAATTTCAAATCTGTTTACATAATTTATCTATGCTATAAGATTCCATTCACAACATCAAACACAAAAAAATTATTTGACACAATGCCAAAATGGCCGCCAGCCAACGACAATACATTTTTTACTTGTACATCTCTAGTGTCCCTCGACTTGGGGGGAAAAATATATTGATGCATCATTTTGAGAGCATAGCTGAAGATTTTAAGCCATGATATTTGTTGTTTTGGGGTAACATGGGAAATAATAGTTTATTACCTAATTATTGGACATTCAACTGGAAAAAAACGCTTAGGATTGAAAGGTCATAGTTGGTGACGTAGTACTCGGCTGAGTTCACTGAATATCTGAAGCATTTGGGCGTAGTCCCCATGGTAAGAACCGAAGCATTCGCTAATTCAAAAAAGGATTTGAAACATTGCCAAATCTAAAGTTGGTATAATCATGTACATTCCAAATCATAATTATCTAAACAACAATTAGCTTGGTATTATTACATGAAATATATTTTTTTTCAGAATTTTTTTTCAGATACTATAAACAATACCAGTGGAATAGTCTATTATTTCCAAGGGGTGCTCCTTGGGGAAAAATACATTGATTTAGACTACAGTTAAACCAAATAGATAAGAAACTAAAGACTTATTAATTAACTGAATGAGTAATTTGGAAGATGGCAAGTCTAATAAAATTAATTACCTAAATTCTAATAAACCAAATTACTTCCCACATCAAATGACTATTTGCTACTATAGACTAAATTATATATATTCCCTACATCTGAAATAGTCTACTGGAATATAAATTTATTTTGTATCTTGATGAATTATATGTAATGTAGATATAATTTAAATGTTTTTCTTATATGGGGCTTTGCCATGCCTGCATTAGTGACCAAATAAAAAGAAAAGACTTTTAAATATATTCTCCATATTATAAGCTTTAAAATGATAGGTAATCTACTGGATCAAAATATCAAAAATATTACGGCTTCTCTGTACTGAAGTATACAATACTGCACACATTCTTATAATAATTTACTCAGTTTAACATTTTGGGATGGCGAGCCTCATACGAAAATAAATACTGTAAGTGTACAAGAAGTATTGTCCCATGCTAAATATCAAAAAAATCATAAAAATATTTTTTGAAATTAACTTGCCCATTTTGAAGTAACATAAAAGTTATTAACTTGAACATAGAAATTAGTGTTTTTAAAAAATGTCTACCCATCAGTTTACAGTGGAAAATGATAGAAACACTTTCATTCATTGGAAGTGTTTTATTATTTTTATTAAAATTTGTTGGTTTAAAAATCAGGGTAGACATTTTTTAAATTCAATAATTTCTATGCACAAGTTAATAATTTGTATGTTATTGCAAAATGAGCAAGTTAATTTCAAACTTATTTTTTATGATTTTTTGACATTATCAACATAACCTATTATTTACATTGTTTACTGTATAAATTATACAACCAAAATTCTTGAAAAGACAACATTAATATATAATAGTATATAGTAACACTGGAGAAAGATGAAATTGTTAACAAACAATATTTGTTTTTACTACAAGGGATTCATATAATCTAAGTCATTAAAATAAACAATTTATTTATTTGTTTACATCAATGGCATGTGTACAGTACTACCAGTTGTACTACAGTGTACAGTTTTACTGCTGCATTATTGGCTTTGCATGTATTCACATAGAAAATAGAAAAATTGCATTGTAAGCAGTTTGGAGATATACATCTAGTTTAACGCCTGGTCATTGACTTAGAAATGGCCAATGACAAACAAATTGAAATGACAAACATCACTGTAATACTAACATTATCTCTAACACGTCAACATCAAAAAGATTAAATGAAACCAAAGAGGTTAACAAAAAAAAATGTAGGTAGACTACTCTATTATTATCAAGGGGTGTACTGACTGAGGAAGTCAAGTTACTGCATTCAGATTTATATACATACATATATTATATATATATATATATATATATATATATATATATACAAAAAAAATTCTAATATAGTTTGTGACTATTTAATATAGAATCAAAGAATTAGTTTGATTTTACAGACTTATTATTACCAACTAAATACAGGTTACGGGTTAGATATATGTGGCAAAGACAAGCCAAACCAGTCACTCGTCGCAAAAATTGATTTTGTGTTATTAATACAGTGTTAAAGAGTAAAATAATAGCTATAAAATGGTAAAAAAATCATTCAAATCGGACATTTCCTTATGAAGTTACAAGCGTTTAAACATACAGCTGTTTAAAGAACAATATATGAGAAAACAGCCTTTAAAGTTTATGATTTCAGGCATTTCTCATGCAGAAACTATCTTTAAATCCTTAAAAAGTGTTGTTTTAACATTGAAAATGGGGAAAATAATAGTATAGGATGGTGTGTAGATATATAAAGGTTAGTTTAGTGCAATAAAATAGATTTTTGAAAATTTGACATTTTAGCATGTTTTGGCCATTTTCTCTGAAACACGATTTGCGACGAGTGACTGGTTTGGCTTGTCTTTGCCACATATGTCATTCAACAGTAACACAGAAAAATGATTAACATTGCATGGTTACCTGAATTTTAAGACTGCCAATGCCAGAAGTGCCATGGACATCCCATAATACATGACTGCTAGACTTCAACAGCAGCATAATGTTATGTAAGCGAGTGTCGTCCTTAACAGTTCTCAGGTTCAAAGTGACAGTTTGCTTGAAAACACCCTGTTCAACTCGCTTGTGTTCAATCACATATATTTCTGGATTCAATTCGCGACTGTTCAGTGGTAGTTTACATCCCTGAATTGGCTTTTCGTTTATGAACTTGGCTGATATTCCATTCTGCTTCCAATCATCTGACACTACACATGTTCTATTAACATGAGTTTCTGAAAATGAATAAAATTCAATAATTTCATGTTTCATTTTTAAATTCCCAAATTTTAAGAAAACCAAACTCATTACAGTAAATATTAAAATAAAACAACTGGAAGGAAAAGTTGGAAAGGAGAGTACAGTACATTCAAATCCCAATGGGCTGAAAAGAGTGCATGAGTGCAGGACGGGAAGAAGTATTGCGCATTTCCCTAAAGGCTTAAAAAAGAAATCTATTTTTCAAGGGTCAAATTTTCAAGGGTCTTCACTTTATAGACACCCTACATGGGTGTCTACAAAATTAAGACCAAAGACCTGAAAAATGAAGACCTCCAGTTATTTCTCAATTATCTAATTGAAAGTATTTCAAAATCAATTTTTGCACTTTGGCCCCAACCAAGGTGGGACTAAGGTGGGTGTGGACTCACGGCTGTCCCTCTCCCCATTTCAAAACAGATTTGCGCCCATGTTATCAAAACTACAATAGTGTAGAATAAAACAAGAATTTGAAGTCTTATTACAAAGTACAACAGACTTTATTACAAAATATGACTGCTCAGTTTATTACAAAGTACGACAAGGGTTACTACAAAACAGTAACAGGTAGCGACACCATTTTAACATCAAAGGACCACACCTTCCATCCCTTTGGGCAAGTACATTTGGATCATTAGTTACAATTACAGTAAAACCCCCATTAAGGAGACACCCAAAAGTGTATAAGGGTGTCCCCTGAATAAGTATGTCTGTTTATTTTTAATGTTTTATGTTTACTGGCTTCTAAAAGCACAAAGAGATATTTTATTGTGGAAGGCTCTTTAAAAATACAACCATTAACCACTTTAAAAAAGCATCATAATTAAATGCTATGAAAAACAGAAAATATGTTGAAGTATTTATTTTCTATTTGTGAAGGAAATTTTGAATAATAAAATGTTCTATTTTCTATAGTTGATGCAGGCTAATAATCCTACATTTAGAATATTGAGCAATATTAAACAAAACTGATCTCATTCAACTAATACATAAACTCCTACACACTCCCACACAATAATGACGTTTTTAATTTTCAGATGGGAATGGATCACGTCACTTCTACATAGGTATTAATTTTCTTTTTTCTCTCAAGGCTTCACACTATTATCACACGCTACATACTGCATGTCAAGTGAACACAATGCAGACACCATGCATGTACTGTACATCAAACCTAAACACACTTTTATTTTCATATTTATAAGAACAACATTATTAACCATAAGAAATCGTTCACAATTATCAACATTTTCACAAGTTTCCAAACAGTACACTAGGGGGGAGCGGGTAGACAAGTAAGTACACTTTTACATAAGCATAAAAAAATTTTGATTCAAAATAACATGCATTATTTAAAAGAGATTTTTATGACCAATTACAATGCAACCATGGATATAATATACATTTTAAGTAACTAAGTACGGTACTTTAGTTGACTTTACAAAAAAAAAAAAGGAGATTGGTTTTGCAAAATCAACATTTCGTATATACACTTTCAGAGAGGAGGGAGGAGGGTAAGAAAAAAAAGTACTGTTTGTACAGTACTTGTAAAAATGTTGATAATTGTGAACAACCCCTAACACAACATGTATGATCTACAGATGAACATATACAGTATTAAAAACATTCATTATGGGTTTTTTTTCTGTTAAAATTTTTTAATTTGTTTATTTTCCCTCATACATTTCAATTATTTAAATTCAATATATTTTTAGTGTTTTTATAGTATATTTTATATACCGTACTCGCGTGAATAAGCGGCCCGTTTGAATAAGCACCCCTCCTAACGTGAAAATTTCCTTAAGCGCCCCTTTTAATTTGAATAAATGCCCCCTCAATAATCCAATCAATTCTGGACTGTGGATGTTGGTATGATTTGAGGTGTGGAGTGGAACCACATTCTCCTTTAGTCAATATCAAAATGAGGATATTTATCTTGGACAGATGAGAGCTATCTGGACAGACAGTATATTTCCAACTTTCATCTTCTTACTTTTCTCTATAGCCTAGTCCTACTGCTTTTCCGACAATTTGCACCTAACAACACATTCCCATCTGAGTTTTCAAGAAAACCTGCAATGATCATGCAATCCTGCTAATCTCAATCGGCATGGACAACAAGTAACCACCACCACTAATTTCATCTGCTATTCTGCTGTTATGTAATAATGTACTCACAACATTCTTGTCATGATAAGCCATGCTCTCTGGACGATTATCTTTTCCGCCGCACCACCATTCGTAATTTGTGGTTTCCTGATGTCCTTATAATCATTTTTCATTCAAAATGTGCCTCTTGATTTAGTAAGTTGTCATAATAACCCCTCGATTTTCATCTATTTTTATAAGCGCCCCCTCAATTTCCACTCTGTTTTGATAAGCGCCCCGTTCGAATAAGCTGTTTGAATAAGCGCCCCTCAAAAGTGCTAAAAATATTTTAAGCGCCCGGGCGCTTATTCGCGCGAGTACGGTAGGTGTTAAGTGATTTATGCCTTACTTATCTAAAATAGTACATCACTGATGAAAAACAGCACCTACTTTTTGAATCAAAAGATAATTAACTTTTACTGGTACGATAACCAATATGGAAGAATGAATACTGTCTGAAAATTAATTACTGTATATTAAATTGAAAGTGGGTTAATTTACGTACTGTATGGTTAATTTGTTCATTTTCCTTCATATATTTCAATTACTTAAATTCAATATATTTTTAGTGTTTTTATAGTATATTTTATATAGGTGTTAAGTGATTTATGCCTTACTTATCTAAAATAGTACATCACTAATGAAAAACAGCACCTACTTTTTGAATCAAAAGATAATTAACTTTTACTGGTACGACAACCAATATGGAAGAATGAATACTGTCTGAAAATTAATTACTGTATATTAAATTGAAAGGGTTAATTTACGTACTGTATATGAATGCTATTAATACTGATGTAGGTCAAGGTAAATCTAGTGGATTTCATAACTATATTATTTATCAGTAGAATAATATATTCGCAAAGGCCTGGTTTCCATGAAATTGCTTCACGCTTTCGTTGACAGCTTTTGGCTAAGCTGATCGGTTGGCAGAATCGGGGAGCTTTCCCGATTGCTTCGGGGACAGCTACGCGGTGTAACGATTGTAGTGAACACTGTAGTGACAAGTAAAGCAATTTTATGGAAATAAGGCTGAAGAAGCTTATCTGCAACTTTGATAGATTAACTACCTTGGTTAAGCGAGACACTGATGTAGTTAGCATAGCTAACCTCTGCAAAAGTTGCTTTCTGGTACTTGTTGCCGACCCATTCTATGAGACCATCTCGACTGGTAGGTAAGTTTTCCTCCACTGACACATCTATATTAGCAAGCGGGTTTACAGTATTTGGTCTCGAAACCTGTAAAATGGCAATAAAACAATCAAAATCATTTTGGTATATAGTATATTTCACAATATATTGGCGGTGATGTTTAAGTGTACAGTACCTGTAAACAATTTTAAAAACAGGGCACAGTTTCAGAATAGATTTAAGGAATTAGATTTACGGTTTTAATAGTGAAGCCTACAGTGAAATCCATCGTTGTATTCCCTGTGTGATTTAAAACAAATTATGATATTTGTCTGCATTTCAAAGTCAACAAATTCAATCTGCAATGATATTATTTTCAATCATCATAAAAATCAGAACCATTATCACCCATAAACAATGATCATCAACACATTATCACATGATAACAGTCACCACCATCAGACCACTACCATCACCATCTTGATAGTCACTATCAAGATCATCAACAACAAGATAATCACCATCACCATATCACCATCTTGATTCATCTCTATAATCACCATCAGGCCATTTCCATGAATTAAAGGCCATCATGATAACCACCATCTTGATCATCACAATCTTGATAATTACCATCAAGATGAATGTCATCACTATAATCAACATCACCATATCACCACTACCATCTATTTTTTTGAGATATAATTTGGTTATGTCTTGTTAACGTAAATGCTTGTTTCTTAACTCCCAGCATGGAATGATAGGTTGCGAGAGATGTTTTACGGTCAGCATATTGCAAGTAGGTACAATCAGTTACCTTGTTACGCTTAAGAACTTTCCAAGTAAAGCTCATAAATTCTATGACACAGAAAATTAATTTTCATTTTTACTGTTCTCGGAATTTAGAGTTGTGATGACACCTTCGGCAAAACCCAGTTGATTAAATGCAAGTAAAGCTGCATATTCAGTCATGCTCAGTATATTTAAATTTTTTACCCACTTGATAAATGGTACCTTCTAAATAAAACATCAAATGACGCTACCTACCAGAAATATTTTTTAAAAGATTCATATATTTTTACATAGATTAATGAATATTATTCAGACATTTGTCAAAAGCAGGAAAAAATGTATTCCTATACCATGCTGAATTAATGTCAATAACATTTTATAACAATAATAAAGATATTATTGTGGACAGAGAGATGGTAACTATACCAAAACAGTAGCATGATGCAAGCTGGCAATCAAAATATTGCAAAAATTAGTACGATTATGTAAGAGAGAATCTACAGTACACCAAAATACTGTATGGTATATTCAGTAAATTAACAAATTAAAGAGGTACCAGTAAATAAATGCTCCTACTTCAGGAAATGATAAAAACAAAATACCATTCAGATTATATAAAATTAAAATGTCATGTGATTTAAGAGATATGATTGGTTAATTACTAACATAACTAATGAGACCGGTGCTGGTTTATGGATTCTTTGCCTTGACCTTAGTTCTTTGCTGATCTCAGTTACTATGTCACCATGGTGATGTGTAACCATTGAATAACACTATTATTATGGAATATATTTTGTACCATTACGTTTCAATGCAAAACAAGAGGAAAAAATGTCATTAGTAAGAACTACAATAAATTTAGCTAGTATAGTGTTTATCATTACAATGCAATAAAAACAAAAATAAAATAAACAGTCTGTAGAATTTTAGTCAGTATTATTATTAACCAATAGACAATACATGTATCGGAGTAAACAAAATGCCTACCTATAAAGGAGATATAGCAATATTACATTTAAAGTTCTTTTAAAATTTGACTTGATTCATCTTCAATTTGCAAACATGGTACATTTTGGTCAACTGCATGAAGAGGCATACCTAGACAGATATTATACAATGCTTGCTTCTGTTGCTTCATTGATTTTTCAAAACTTTTTTTTTCTACCATCAAAATGCCCAACTCCATATATAACTCAATCAATTAAATGAAAATTATATAAATTCATAATAAAAATTATCTTTATTTTATTATATACTCTATACAAGGAATGTAATAGATATTAACATTTTTTTCAAGATTAGGAATAATAATGATGAAATTCATGATTGAATGAATACATTCGTACTTGTGAGTTTTTCATATTTTTTTTTCACATTGAAATAAGCTCATTTAGTATTAATATTTGGGAAATGTTTCGTTGATGAAATAAAAATTCTACCTACCAATGCCATTAAAAATCCATGATTAACACTAAATTTTATTATATGACACCGGCTGTATTATAATCGTTGGCACGGTGCCAAATATGGAACATGATCCATTCATAACAATGTTTTAATGGGAATGTGAGTCTGTATTGCATACTTCTGATATTAATCTGCCACAGATCTAACATTGAATCTTCTATGTGATATGCTATGATGACAAAAATTAATTATCATAAAGATACAGTAAATACAACAATCTGGATAATAACTGTAAAAAAAGTTGGCCAAGTTTGACTGACTCAAAAATCTGGGATACTGTAGGCCTAGTGTACACACCAAAATCACCGGGTTGTAGGCCTTACCTTTTTGCCTACCGTAGATGCAAACAGGTAGGCCTAGCATGAAAAGACATTTTTCAAAATTAAAACGTCTGTGCTTCCATATAGACTTGACAAGAATAAAATTGATATACAGTAATTCACAAATTTGGAAAAAACCTCTACTGATACATTGCTTTATTATTTTATCAACGCGAGAAAAACGACAATCACAACAAAAAATTAAAATTCTCAAAGAAAATTGAGGGCGGTATTTGAACCCAAGTTCGCTAACAGTGAAATGGTGTACAGTAACTATTGAGGTAATGTATCAGCGCAGGTTTAGTTTCACCTTGAAAGTATATAAACTGTAGACATGCATAGATGTGCCTACATTAACATATCTAATCACATTTTAAGTACAGTATGACCCCTGTGTGGTGAGTCAAATGACCCCCAATAATTTGCTTGAAAATGCAAAAGACGACTAGCAATGAGGCTGGAGAGCCCCAATCATATTTATTTATTTCCAAGCCCACAGCGAAAAATTGTCACTAAAGGATGGACAAAATATATAATATAAACTCTAAAAATAAGAGCCAGACTATCAAAAAGTACATTCCTAACTAACCCCTACTCCAAAAAAAACATACTATCATGCATTATTTACAGCATTGGCATATCTACTGTAGAAGTCTTAAAATGGAGGTGCTGATGGGGGAAGTGGGGGGGCTCGATGATCAATCGAGGGGCGCTAACTCGCAAAATAAGGCTAGATACCCCACAAGATACACCGATTATTTAACAAAATATTATTACCTCCGCCAAAGGAGGTTACGTATTCACTGCTCTCTGTCTGTCTATCTGTCTGTGTGTTAGCAAGATTATGAAAGAACTAATGAATGAAATTATCATGAAAATTTTCGGAGTGGTACATAATATTCAAATAAAGAGACCATTCAATTTTGGGAATAGGCCAAAGAACATGGTCATATTTTTTTACCTTCAGCATAAAAAATAATGGAATGGCCCCCATCATACACGGCCTCTGACTATTGTTCGGTATACATCATACAGGCAAAGGGTTGGAAAATAATGAATCATACACGGCCTGCGTACATGTACAGTAAAACGTCTATTTTACGTACCCCTTGTTACCAAGGGGTGTTCGTAAATTGAAAAATTCGTAAACTAGATCGGGTGTCAGTTTCCAATACCTAGGCAGCTCCCTGCCATAGAGCACCGATATGCTGACGGCGGCCAGGCCTAGCACGAACTGATAATGCGGCAGCGCGTCTACCGCGCTAGAGCCTAGCTGAATTTACCTTCGATAAAAACCAAATTATTTTAATCGCTGGCATTCTTCCACTAAACAAAATATTATTTTAACTCTTATTCAAACATTCAAACATCTGTATGTTTTATGGACCTTTCTATCATGTTCTTTCTAGTTGTGAGATCGCCGAATTGAGTTGTTTACATGCATTTCGCGATCATACCTGTCATTCACCATGCCAATAAGTTGGTGACCCCAACATTCTTGTTTGTCTTTGTAAACATGTGCGCTCAGTCCGACGACACTTGCGTTGGTAGTTCGTTGTTGTGGTTAGGTTTATTACATTAACATAGTAATTATTATACCAGAAATAGAAGAAAAGATCGAACTATTAATAAATAAATACATAAAACTTTATCTTATTAAGAAAAATATACATTATCACTTTGTGAAACGTCCACAATCGGACTTTTTTTACGGAAATAATTGGTCGATGATGACGTCATCAAGGGCAAAGACCATTCGTATAATCGATTATTCGTAAAACAGAAGTTCATAAAATGGACGTTTTACTGTACTGTTCGGTATACATGCACAGGGTGGAGGTATCAAGTCTGTGGAGTGACTGCTCTAGTTATTTTGTATTGAATATGAAAAGTTTTAATTACAGTAAATAATGTTCAAGATACAAAAAATGGAAATAAACACATAAAAATCATGCATCATTTCTACAAACTAGATTATTAAAAGCAAATGAATTATAATTTACCAAAAAAATTAATTACAATTAGCAAACAATATTGAGCAGAACTGTATAAAAGTGGTAAATAATGTCAACATAATTATTACTTCAATACTGTATATTCCATTATATATTTAATATCTAATTATTTGTAAGAGCTTGCGATAATCTCTTGATTATGTGGACTACATCTGTAACTAAATTACATATACGTAGAAAAAATTATGAAAGTGTTTGCGTTTAGTTAACATTTTAGTTTCTCTTATCAACATGATATTGATAATAAAAGACTGAATTTCTATGCTTACTATATTAAAAGATTATACACTTCCATAAGTGAAAAATGTTATACAAGATACGTACAGTCCCTGTAAAGATTGCATCTATGACATAAACCTTGCTTACAGAATAAGGAAAATTAAAACAATGTACAGTAGCTATATTTATAGCAACATTTTGTTGACTTTGTACATTGTCGCTATAGGTGTCTATTCCTATGTTATATGAAAAGGCTTTGAATCTCTGCATGTTGTATTAAATGGGAAGCTGACCA